TAAAACTGGGAAGGATTGCTGTGTGAAACCCTAATTATTTATTCTGTAATGACTATGTTGTTGCAGGTAAAATTGCCAGTTGCTTTTGAGCACTCTGTTTAATAGAGAGCTCTCGTTCAGAAAACTACTTGGTTTTTTGACTGAAGAAATCTGAATCTGAAGAAAAGGAACTATTAAATCCCCCTTTTTTTAGTAAAGCACTTTGCATCTACTAACAAAAATGCCCTCTTGGATCTACAAATGATCATCCAGTGGCTTTATTAAATTGGTTCTGAAACCTGTTTGCAACAGTGAAGACGCAAATGAGTCAAAATTGGGGCAAACCAGAGTAGTCTCCTCCTATTGTCTCAGGGTGCTTTAGTGGTCTTGAATGTACTCCCAGGAAATTGAGTTTAGAGTTGGTAATAATACTGTATCACCTATAAATCCATTCCACTGAATGGCATGGGATGCCCTTGTGCATGCAGCATGTAAAGAAGACTAAAAATGGGACATGATTCTTCCTACCTAAAATGTGGTTTAGCATTCCTTGAAAGAGGTGCATGTGTTATGAGCCTGTAGACAGTGGGGGGAAACACTCTCCTCTCCTGGCACAGCCCCACTGAATCAATATTGCAGTCCCTAATCCAGCTCAGTGCATGGCAGCACAAATCTTTCTGTTGTCGTGGGATAGAAATGAATGAGCAGGGGAGCCAGCATTGTTGCTTTTGTTAGCATTGTGGTGTCCTGGCCTGGTTCAAGCAAAATCTGAATGTGATGTTTCACAACTGCTTGGTTTTTGTAAGAATGCTGCTCAGAAAGGTGGAGGTCTTCTACTTAAGAGCCGCATGGGCATTATCCAGTTCCTTTTACAGCTGAAAAAACAATCCTCCTGATGCTAAGAGATGTGCCTCTGCCCAAATTAAGGGTCAAATAAGATCATACGCTGAAGTCCATAATACAGAGTTTATTTAACATGGAATGTCAGGGAGAAAGGTAGAAAGAAATAGAAGGAAAGGTAGAAGGAAAAGAGAGCAGAAAGAGAGATCAGGTAGAAGATAGTCACCACCTATAGATCCAGTGGTGTCTTTTTGATCCTTCTTCACTCTCGTCTTCTCTCGCTAGTGGTATTCTCTGGGTCTTTTCACTATTCATACATATTAGCAAAGAAACAAATTACTGCTCATTGGCTACACAGTGCTACTATTCTATTGGTTAATTGATTCCTTTGCTTCTAATGCTAATTAGTCCTTGCACTCCATGTACTCTTCCTCTTTGAGTTGGTGGTCGATCTCCCACTGCCGGAATTACTTTTACCAAGTCCAAGCTGATTTCAGTACAGTTGCTGAGCTGGCTTTCCTTGTGGCCCATAAATTCTGCAGTTGTGTGACATTCTTCTCCCCCAGCTTTGTTAACCTCTCCCTAGATCTGAGATAATACTCAGACAACAGCACCCCTTTTATCTTATCTCAGGTTCCTGCTGTGGTGGCATATCTTACAGTCCAAGTTCCAGGTATCCAGGGAGGCATTTTCAGGTGGCTTCAGTGGTTGGTGGTGGTCACAGATTTCAGCTGTTTCAGAACTTGGGGTGATCTTTCTTTGACCAGTGATCTGCAAACGAGCAGTTGCTTCTTCATACACATTTCCATAGTGGGAATTTTTGTCCAGATGCATTACCCAGGATGAGCTAACCAGGTCTCACCTCTGCCAGGCCTGTCACTCCATTCTGTGCTTATCTCATGGCAAAGTCAACCTGTGGCTGTGACAATGTTTGAGGCACGCAACTGTGTTGACTCCTTACACCTGGAACAAAGGAACAGAGAAAAATGTGGGATCTGCTCACTCACTATCCTCACAATTGTCATGATGATGATTATGAAACTCCTCCCAACTTAAGTCATATGTTTTCCCCTTCCTGTGTTTGCTTCATTAAAGAAAAATAAGAATCTTATAGAATTACTTTCACTACTGGAAACCCTGATACTTGAGATTTTTTGCTTAAATTCTCCATCCTGAAGTTGACTAAATCTGGGTTAAAACTGATTTGATTTGTGAGTCATCAATCCAGGATTATAACAAAAGCAAGTTTATCCTCACACAGTGGCAGAAGAAACCCCTGACATAAGGCTAGAAAGCATAAGGAATTCTAGAAGAGAAAATTAATGAAGATTTTGAGAGTTGTAGGCAATTTTTCCTTTTTTTCCCCCTTTTCCCATGTCACACTAGAAATTCTAAGTGATTTCTTGAAAAGGTAGTTGGCAATATTGTTGATGAAAAGGCATGTGAAATATTTTGTTTGTCTTGGTATGTTTCTTAATTTCTTGCCTCCCCTTCCTTGTCTTCCATATTTTCAACTCAAGCTGACTTACAAACCCTGCTTAATGCTGCTGATCTTCTTCAGTAGCTCCAGGTTTAATCTTCAGTGGTGGTGGTGTTGTCCTCTTCCCATCCTTGTGCTGCTTCTCATGTTGCTTCACTGTAGTCAGTAGTGCATTTGGTGAGTGAAGCAGAGCAGGGGATGAAAGTAAAACTTAGGAGAGCAGGAAAAATACATCCATGCCTGAATATTTGCCAGTCTCATTCTGTGTCTATACTCCTCTCCGAAACACATGCAAAGACCAACTCAAGACACCTGTGTTGACCTTGATAAAAGGAACAGAACATAATGATGCCTTACTTGTCCAAGTAAGAGAACAATGTGTTTTAAAGAAGTAGATTAAATAATGAATAAGTAGGCACACAGGCTGTTCCACGTAGCTGGGACCAGTGGATAAACAGATAATGAGGAATACAGTGGGTTTTGTGGTAGCTACGTAACAAGAGGCAACAATGCATGCCTTAAGAGAAATTCAAGTAAAGGTCACCTGTAACACTGGGGACTCTCAGGGAATACAATCACCAGAGACCCCTTCAGGGGACCCTGTAGGAATATAAAAGGACTACTCTTACTAAGAGGTAGATGCATGCAAATTAGTTCTAGAAAAAGTGATGTGTATGTATTAGCCAGGAAGTACACTGTAATCAATATTTATGATCATGATGGAATAAACATCTTTTTTTGTAAAGTTTTGTGACACATCAGAGTAGAGGAAATAACCTCTGTGTGTCCAGTGTGCTGCAATAAAGAATGCCTGCTTTTTAGTACTTCAAATTCTGTTTCAAAGTTTCCTCCCTAGCTTATTTTGGTATTAACCCAGAGCCCTGTGTTTGGCAGGGTCAAGAATGAGCAGTGAGGGAACAAGGAGAGGATGGTTTGTAATTGGTGCTGTTGAAAAATGTAAAAAATAGTCTTTTTTGGAAAGTGTGTAGCTTGAGTATTAGGGGAGATGTGTTCACTCTTGACTGTGGTAAATTGATTTGCTTAATTATAGGAGAAATTCAGTACTTGCAGTTTTGCTAGCTACTTGACTTACCAGAACAGAATTTCTCAATTATCCTTGCAGATGATGATATAAAAAATGTTACAAAAGTTGTAGCCAAAAAATGGAATTTGTATATCAAAGGAAACTGCGCAAATGTGTATTGAAATGCAGACTGGTAAAATGGCACTTAGAGTAAAATCAGGCTTAACATCATAGCTGTTCAGATGAAAGTGAAATGCCTTGATAACAAGTGAAAAACTGCTTGCTAATTTTTCAGAATAAGAATTGCTTTAGTAAAATGGGTGGAGTTTTATTACAGCACTGCTTTATACTGAGTTGCCAGTTAAACCTTGAACATCTGTTGGAAAAATCTAGTGAAAAAGTTACCTAAATCTTGTATGAAGCAATTAGAGTAAGGAATTAAGTTTTCCTGCAAAAAGTAAAATATTTAATAGTTTCTGTACTTTTACATTTTATTGTAAAAATGAAACAGAAACCACTTTAAGCCCATGCTAGTTTAGTTCACTATACAAGTGGTGAGTTAGATACTGGTGTTGAATTCATTGGGTTAAACAGATCTTTTTTAAGGTCCTAAATCTATGTTTCCTCTCAAATGGGAGCTGAAGGTCTAGAATCTATGTTAGTGTAGACTTGCATGACTGTTCTACTGTAGGCTTTTTGCATGTGACTTCCATGTGCTCAGTGATTATTATTTCAGCCTTAGCTTCAATTGCTTCCTTTTTTGGTTGTAATGACTACGGTAATTTTCTTCAAGCAAGATATCAGTGCCTAGCATTTTAGAGATTTTTCTTGGATGTTAAAAACAAGCCTCAGTGCTAATAGGACATTCTTATTTTCTGCAGCTAGAAAAGGTGTCTGCTTAAAAATGTTTATATAGATCTTCTCCATTTCAACCTAGTTCTACTCACAGTTCAACCCCAAGTTTTGAACTTTACTTTGTCCTTTCCATTCTGTTGAAAAGACTAATTGTTTAACCTTTGTGTTACTGGCTCTCAGCTTTCTTCAACCTGGAGCCTAACTATGTTTGTCTTAGAATTGTACCCCATTGTGTCTTGCAGAGGAGAGGAGGGAGAGAGCCCTGCTTATTTATTCCTAAGTTTTTATTGCTTTCCCTTGCTTAATGTGAAGGTAATAATGATATTAATACAGGTCAACTTTTCCGCTCTACAAGTCATCTCATTAAATTTGAATGTACTACATTTGTGTTCTCACGTGACACGGATCTAGGTCAGTCACGTCACACTGCTGGTGTGTGTGTGTGTATGTAATACCACTCTCTTATTAATATTCCACACTTAAAAGTGTTTACTTTAATCTATTCTGTAGCAACAAATCATCAATGGGAATACATTCCCTTTGTAGTAAAACAATTATTTCTTTATAAGATTAAGGTAAATTCCTTATGGCATTGAAACAAGAAAGTGTTTGACCTTGGGTGATAGAATATGTCATCAGTGAATAACAAGTAAACATTACTTCAGTGATAAATGAGAATTTTCTTTTTCTAGCTCACACCTTATTGACAGGAAAGTGGTATAACATCCTTTCAAAAATATTTATCCTTGCAAGTTGTCTTTGAAGTTGTTTAATATATCTTAGCTTGTGCAAGCATAATCAGATTTTCTTTTTTCCCCCCAGTCGGTGTTATCCGCTGTCCAATTTGTGGTCAGGAATGTGCAGAGAGACACATCATAGATAACTTTTTTGTGAAGGATACCACAGAGGTTCCCAGTAGCACAGTAGAGAAATCAAATCAGGTAAGTGCATTAACATGTAATCAAGTTAACACCTTTTGGATGTGTGTTCATATCCTTGGCTTCTTGCTGTGTAGCCTTTTTGCTCTTCATATGCAGACAGAACTTCAACTACTTAGACATCACATGGGGTAGCTACTCTAGAAAATCAGTTAAAATGTATGAAAAAGAATGTGAAGAAGGTGGTTATATTACTCTATACTATTTTTAATTGTTGATATAAACTTGCATCTTAATAGCAAAAGATAAATGTAAGGAATAGGCATTAGAATGGAATTTCTGTTCTTTGAACAGGGTACTTGAAGCACTTTTTGAAACAAAGACTTGAATACACTACACTAGGAGATCTAAATGGACTTTATCACATTACTGACAAAACATGGCATTAAATAGCTGGAGTCCTGTTGCCAAGGAAGAGGCTCAAAATGCTAGTTGGGGAGGATGGTATATTGTAGGGGTTTCTTGTTTGTTTTCCTTATGTAGGCTGCCTTTTCTTCCTTTTGCAGTCAAGTAATAGCCGTCTCATAAAAGTTATCTGGAAGAACAGTAATACTGGGCTTTTCTTTTCATTATGTTATTTTCAGGAGGCTAGTGTGGAAGCAATACAAAACAAATAGTCATATCTGTGTAGGATCACAATTGAACAATCTCTGTTAGCAAAATAATGCATGTCTTCATTTTTAGCTAGTAAAGGAGTAACTAATGCATCTCTTTACTCATGGACTTATTAAACTCCAGAAACTTACTGTAAATAATTCAGCCTCTTTGTATGTTGCTGCATTCCTCATAAGAAGAGTACAGGAAGGTTGCCATATCAGTGTGGCTTGCATTCCAACTCATGCCCTAATATTTGGATGGTGGTCTCCTTTTATTTTGAAAATTCCTCTTTTTCACTTTCCCATTTTAGGGGGGACTGTATCATTGGCTCTTGAGCTGTTTGCTTCAGGGGCAGTGTCTTAGAGGTCCTGTGATGTGCATTCTGCTCCTTTCAAGGCTTAGCTGGAATTTGTGCTTGTGTGTGGGAACAGCCACATCTCTTGGGAGCAGATGACAGGAGCCAGTCAGGTTTGTGATACCAACTTGCTGGCTATTGAAGGCATAAGTGGTGTCATCCTATCCAAGGAACAGAACTTGTGTCTTGCAAGTCTGAACATTAAACTGTTCAGATTTTAACGAATTTTGACACTGGATTTCTGAGAAATGTAGACCTTACCAGAAGCAGTTGCTGGAAGTACAAGCTGTGTTCTTGTAATGTAGCCCTGTTTGAACTTGGCTTTTTTTGGATTTGGCAAAGGGAAATGTTTGTTTCTTGTTTGTCCCCTGAGAATTGCAGGATAATATCTGAATTTTGCAGATGGTTGTGAGATTTATATGGTCTCTCAATACTGTACCAGTAAGATTGACAAAATGAGTAGTCCCTGTTGAAAATTTGATCATAACTTTTATAGTGACTTTAAAATTAGGAAGAGAAGCAAGATAGCAAATAATGTTATGCAGAAGCAGTCCTAAATGTTTGGGTTTTTTTTTTGAGAGGGTGGGGCTGTCCCATAACCTGTACTTAGTTATATAACAAGTCCTTGAAGATACTGCTTTGGGGAGTGGTGATAGAAATGGATTCTATTCTTCCCTTGGGAGTAGTAACCAATTTTTTGAAGTATCTGATCACTCCCTCTTTCCCCTCACAATATTTTTTTGCTTCCTGTGAAAGTTAAGTGGAGAATTCCATTCACTGCATGGTGTGAACAAATGTCAGGGAGGTTCTTGAAAACATTTATGTTTCCTTCAAATCCCTTCTAGACTTTGGTCTTACTCTTCCATTCCATATTTGTTTCTCCCTCTCCCTGACACAAACCAGCAGGTTTGCACTTTGAAAGCAAATCTGTTCTTCAGCTAAGGTCCTTGGTTGAACTCAGCACACTTTCTGTAGCAGTTGAAGGCAGACCAGCATATGTTGCTGAACCAGCAGAATAGGACATTCATGTGCTTTTTTGCTGACTTTTTTCTGAAAAGATGAAGCTAGATGTTTTGTTAGATGCCTGCTAAGTGAGTTTGGACCTTACCTCTTGGAAACTAATGATGTGCAGTTTTCTTCATTTGGATAGATTTATTTTGGTATCATAATGAAACTTTTTTGTACCTTGACATAAGAAAAAAGGTACACTGTTCTGTAAATGTCTGTTGTGGAACAGCAAGGTTAAATCAATAATAGTTAAACTGATTAGTGTACTGTCCAGGTTGAATATTATGAGGTTTAACGATGATGGAGCCTTCTAATCAGCCTGTCTTGTTTTGCCTTTGAAGGAGCAAGGAGAAAAGGAAGAAAATTTGCCATTAGCATAGGCAACAGATCAGAGAAATTAAAGTAGAAAAGATACTGACACTTGCAGGAAATACTACATCAGAGATCATCCAAATTCTATCCAAAACTGTGGCTATTTTATAGGATTTTTTTTACTGAGATTTGTTAATTTGTCTTAAGTAGTTTTGCAGCTTTATTTGAACGATTAAGAAATTAGAATTGGAAACAAGGCATGGGTTTTGTGCAAATATTGTTGTGGCTTAGAACCACTGGTGTGTATCTGTGATTAGCCTTATATGTGTGTTGGCAGGAAGGACTGTTTTATTTCAATCCAAAAGAGACTGCAAAAGACCTCTTGCAAATGAAATGTTTGATTTTTTCAGATTCAAAATAGTACTAATGCTAAAGCAGTTTTAGCATACTGAATTAAAACTGCAGGAGTGAATGGCCTATCACGGAGCTGGCATTGTGGGAAGAGAAAAATAACTGGAACCCATGAAAGTTCTGTCCATCTATCTATAATCATGTTTATCTTCCCTGAGCCTGATTTGGGCAGTTCAATACACTACTGGCATAGCTGTGCTTTCTAGCAATTTCTGCTGAAAACTTCAGGAGCACAAGAAGTGAGCATGAAGAAAGTATAGAACTCAAATTCCCTAGTACGTGTTCTACAAGAGCTTTCCTGGGTAGCATTAAAGGTTTTGTGCTGGCTATTAGCATAGGAAACTTCACAAAAGAAAAGAAACTCACAGGAAATGCAATAACTCTGTAGGTTGTGGGCAGCACTAGGATATAAATACTTCGAAAGAGCAGATGCTTTATAACTTTTTTTCACGTTGTGATTTATTGAAAGACTTGGCAAAATTATCAGCTTCTAAAGAGAAGTTTGAAAATAAAAATTAATTATACTTCATAAGAGTGAGCAGAAAAGGGCTTCAGACCTAAGAGATGTTGCTGATTAGATTAGACTAAGACTAAAGGGTCTTATTCTAATCAAGTGAGGGAAATTTAGGGACTTTAACAGAAGAACATGGTGTATGCAAAGCCATGAAAATAAAAATGAGAAATGTGAGATTGATGCAAGAGAGAGGACCTTAGTGATAACATGGGAGTTGGTGAAGCATACTGAGCCTCTAGTGCATTTTAGTATAGGTTCTAATTCCCATAGCTCCTATGTCCAAAACAGAATGTGTGTAAAATATTTTTGATGGTGAGAATAACTTTCTGTATCTTTACCAGTTTCTGATCTGAGAATTTAAAATATTGTACTAGGAATGAAGAACAGCTGGGTTTTTTGTGAGATGTTGGGAATTGTGATAAATGGATATGATTCGTGCTAACTAAATTGTAACTATATCAATATTTTAGAAAATAATTGTTATAAAATAATAAAGGAAAAGTATATGTGATTAGTGTTACAAAGCAGATGGGCCCCTTGGCAGATGTTACATGTGAAAAACAGGATACAGGATGTAGTGTTGAGATAAGCAAGATCCCAAAACAGAAATGGCCTTGTGATGAACAAAGTTGGGACTATTCCAGGTGTGGAATCTAAGTTGTGGTTTTATCTATGAAATAATAAGGCTTATTTGGAATATAATGCTTACTTACATAACACAAAGCTTAATGCACATCTGCAACCTGCCAGATTATTCAGAGGGCTGCGAGGAAGACGATGAGCCTTCCTCTGAAAAGACCACCAAAAAGCCAGGAGACGCCCGAGCAACAAGTGGAGCGTGCACTATGCAGTATAGTGATGTAGAGTTCAAGAATCAAAAATAGGAGGAGATTTATGGAAAATTATTGATGAAAATGTATTAGCATACAGTATATAAGTGTAGTTTGGGTTCCTTTGTTTTGTACGTGAGGCAGGGTGAGAAGCCCTCCCTGTACCCTGGTCAGTTTTGCTTATGCTTTATATGAACCTTAATCATATTTAAGTAATCACTGCCAAATTTTTGTATATGCTTTATTATATTTATTATAATTGATTGTATTCATTTATATAAAATTGCTGTTCAATTAAAACTGCTGCTAAATTCAGTTTTTTTGTTTATTAATTAGACATATAGAACTTCATTCACAACAGGAATGTAGTAACAAAACAAGGTATCAGCTTAGATCTGATACTAGATCCAGATATTAGGAAAGCAAGTCTGACTGCCATAATGAGGTGATTAATAAGGAGAATTTAGAGCAATAAGTTTAAGTTTGTATGGTGCCAGAGGAACCACTGTGTGTTTTATTATGCTCAAACAGCCTATAAAAGCTGTACCTGTGACCAAAATATCTCTGAAATCCAGTGGTTTATGGAGGTGGGTGATAGACTCAGGAAGAGTCACAATATGCTCTTGTATGCTTTGAAGAGATGTGGATATTAATGGGATGGTGGGGTAAGAAGGATTTCATGCATTTTGAGCTGTCAGTACATGATTCATATTTGGAATTACGTATAGTCTTCTGTCTTCCGTGATTTTGTATGTGCCAGGAGATAGTTGTGTAAGTGAGGTTGCATTAGTGAGGTTTGGATCCAGTGGGGGAAAGCATTGCATCTAATTTACATTGGTGAAGTTTGGAGTTCACTGAATATTCATCTGGACTACTTTGCTCTCTTCCTTTGAAACCTTTGCTTGATTATTTAATCTCTTTAATACTCAACGTGTGTTTAATTGGAAGAGTGGTTATTTATTACAGGAGCTGAGAAGACAGGTCTATTACCTCAACTCTTGCAAGTTAATGTGTTTTTTCTGCCATAAAATCTTGTGTATTTTCTTAAAATACTACTTACCTGCAACATGCTGAGTAATTTCTCCTTTCTTTAAATTTGACTGAAGGCTGAATGAACACTTCCTGGGGTTATAAATATAGAACTTGTAACTGAATTAAATGTAATTACAAGGAAAACTCAATTAAAAATAAATGTCTGCCTGACCAGAATAAAAGCTTGTAGATTAACTAGGGAGAGTTTTCTTTGAAATCACTGAAACACTGCTTGTGTGAGTTACCAAAATAAGAATGAGTTTTAGGTTTTGTAAGTGCATAACAAATATTTGCAGTAATTGTACTTCCATATGCTTTAGCTGTATTGCTTAATGTAATCACTAGGAATTCTAGCAAAATCCAACCTACATCTGAAAATGCATATTTCAAACCCGAAGTGGATAGGAACAAATCTGATGCTACCTAGAAGCCATTGCTGTTTTGACAGCTTGAGTTACGACGTCTGTGAAAAGCTTTAGAAATCTGTCTCATATCCACTTGATGGATTTGAAGAGTATAAAGGTGGGGATATGTATTTTTGATATTACAAAGGAGGAGTTTTGATTCTTCTGGCAGCACCTGATTATTGGTTATTGAATCACAATTTTCATCTCATTCCACATACAGCAGGTCAAAACAGTTAAAAAACCCAACTAAAGCATATTGAAAAAAGAAAATAGATGAAGCTCTTGGAATCTAGGGAGAATTAATTACCTAAATGTCCTGCCATGTTCATCTGCCTGATTTTGCTAAAGGTGATCTGGAAAGGCTGTTGTGGGGAGTTTGGTTGGTTGGTTTTGCTTTTAATTTGGTTCCTGCCTTGTTGTTGTTGTTGTTTTGGGGTGGGTTTTTTTGGTTTTTTGTTTTTGTTTTGCTTCTTTGACGTAGAGAATGCCTGAAAGCCTTTTTTGTTCTTTTTCTCTGGTTATTTTGTTTTTAGGGCTGGGTTTGTTTGTTTGTTTGTTTGTTTGTTGTTGTTTTTTTTAATTTACACTAGAAAACCAAATACCCCGTATGTAACTCCACTCTGACTTCCAAAAACATGTCTGGGTATTTGGGGTGCAGCACAATCACACCTCTCTGGCCACAAGACTGATGTGAAAACTTTCTTGTGCTGCCTGTTCAGTTCACTCTCCAGTCAGCAGGCTTAGAATACACCATACATTTCGGAGGGGCGAGACAGAGCATACCATTTCAATAAAATGCAATACTACGATTGCTGATGTAACTGAGCCTTGGGCTACCATGGTGTAATCAGTCCTGGTTTGCATCTCAGTCTTGCAGAGAGTTGCACTGGCACAAAAAGGAGGAGACAACTGGCTGAAGAGAAAGGAAGGAGAGGATTTTTTTCCCCCAAGAATTCAGAATAGTTTAAAATTTGTTTTATTGTTTTTCCAAATGTCATTGAATTTAAGGGTTAATAACAAGTGTTACACTTTAACCCCAGCTGGTAACCAAGCACCATGCAGCCTTTTTTACTTCTCTCTTTCAGTTTATTTCCTCCCTCCCTCCCCACCTCCAGTGGAATGGGGAGGAGAATCGGGGGAAAAAAGAGATAAAACTGTAGGCTGAGCTAAGAACAGCGTAATACATGAAACAAAGTAGTATTAAATAATTATTATAATAATAGTAATGAGAGAGAGAGAGGGAGGGAGGGATGTGTAAAGCCCGAGACAAACAAGTGATGCTAAATAAATTTGCTCACCACCCACTGACCAGTGCCCAGCCTTTCCCTGAACAGAGATTGGTACTTCCCCACGGTTCATATGCTGAGCATGATATTCTGTGGTATGGAATATCCCTGTGGGAAGTTCAGGTCAGCTGTCCTGGCCACACTTTCTCCTTGTGCATGTGCTGACTGGCAGAGAGCATTGGAAGCTGAAAACTCCTTGAGTTTGTGTAAGCACTGCCTAACAAACTGATGTGATGGTTGTTGCTATCAATGTTATTTTCGTACTAAATCTGAAACCACGGCACTGTGCCAGCTACTAAGGAAAACCCCCACACTATCCCAGCTGAAATCAAGACAGAAAGCAAAAATGTTCAATTTCCTGATTACAGTTAATTTCCTTTAATTGCTATATTTCAATTTTCTAGACTTTTTTAATGATGTCCTGACTTTGGTATTTTTCCCTTATCTACTGGTCTGGATAGGAATAAGATTTTTTTTGTTGTTGTTAAGAGAAGAAGGGGAAGAAAAATAAAAACCAAGGAGAAGTTAAATTTTTGAGGTTATTTTGAAATAGAAAACTTTCAGGCCTCATTTTGTAAAGAAACAGAAAAAGGGGCACAAGCCCAATTTTTTCTCCTTTGCAGGTCACCTATAATGAAACTGCTTCAAACTCCAAGTGACAACAAGAGGGGTCAACAGCCCTTGTGTTGTAACTTCATTTCTCAGAAGATACTTGCTTTGAGAGGTAACATGATTCAGAAGCATAAGCACAGCATTGGGAATCTGGAACTCATTTTCATATTCCAGTTCTGTCAGTAACTTGCTATGTGGCCTAAGGCAAATTTTGTACTAATGTTCCTTTCTTTCCTGAAGGGGAAACTGGAACATAGTTCTATGTATATATTTTTTTATCTGCATGAGATATAAATATTTCCTTCCTCTTTAACTTACTCTATATTTACCTTGTGTGGGTACAGAAGTTGTTTGGTTGAGGTTTTTTATATCAAACTGAAAACAAAACCAAAACTTGTCTCTTTGTTGCTCCTGTGAGCAGATATTTGTCATTGTGATCTGTAGGACGTAGCAATCTTCAGACACCTTGAGGCTTTGGTCTGCAGCAGTGCTAAACATTGCCAGAAATGGGTGGTTGTTACCTAAACCAGTACTACATAAGCATGCTCACTATGTTTTACTACCAAAACCCCATTGAAGGTAGGACTACAGAGGCATTGTAAAGGAGGGGTAAAAATGAAATTATGAGTGTGTGAAATGGTGTTGTCCATCATTCAAAGTTTTCAACTTGTTGTTCATATTGTGGTACTGTAGCAATTTTTTCTTGTGTATAATATTTACTCTGTGTAGAGAGGTTTTGGTCTGCTGACATGTTTGTTTTCCTTAATTATTTCTTGTTCCTAAGTCTCTTGGGTGTAGTCCAAAGAGCCCCAAGGGTTAACAGGCCACAGTTCTTGTGCATTGGTTGTAAATTGTTCTGGGGTAGCTTTTTTGACAAACTTAACTGGAATACTGTCTTTAAGAGGTGATGCTAAGATTCTGAGGAACCTTGCTGCTCAATATGGTGTGTTCTTCCTGAAACCAAGCAGGTGACTGGAAGCTAAAATGAAAGCTGCTTTGTGAACTGAGGGAGGCTTCTAAAATCAGAATAGTGTTGCTTGTGTTCTGTCATTAGTAAATATTTCACAACAGCATCTGGTATACAGTAAACATTGTTTGGCTTCTAAGTGTGCAGGGAGTGGCAGAGAGTAGTGCTCTGACTTTTATCATGTCAAGCAAAGATTTTAGGGTTACACTGACAAAATGACCTGTTTCTTTGAAAAGTCATATTCAGTTACTTCTGTGCTGTTGTTTATAATGTTCCTGTACCTCAAAGAGGTACTCCTGTTCTCATTTCACTATTTTCAGAAGACTATTAAACTGCACTGATGTATGTATACCTGTGTGTATATTCCAAACTTATTTTAACAGCTACCTTTCTTCCTCTTGTCAGGTCTGCACAAGCTGTGAAGACAATGCAGAAGCTCATGGGTTTTGTGTGGAATGTGTAGAGTGGTTGTGCAAGACCTGCATCAGAGCTCACCAGAGGGTTAAATTCACAAAGGATCATACTGTGAGGCAGAAAGAAGAAGTATCTCCAGGTAACATATTTATAATTTCACAAAGAATTTGTGTCTACATTGGAAAGGTACACTGGACCAACACACTTTTTAAAAAAAAAAGTGGTAACTTGAAAGCTGGTGTTCTGCCATTTTTTTTTGTCTCACATAAGCTGAATAGTGGTACATGTTGTTTTTGGGGTGGTTTTTTTTTGTTTGTTTGGTTTTTGGTTTTTTGGGGGTGGTTTTTTTTTGTTTGTTTGTTTTGGTTTGGTTTTTTTTGTTTTGTTTTTGGTTTTCAGGGATTTTTTTTTGTTTATTGGTTTTTTTAATTTAACATGTTTTAAACTAATAAATACATATAGATTTTATCTTCCACATGGATTGTGCTTGCAGATTATTGTCTAGACTTTAGAGATTAGCTGCAGAAAATACTTCTTTAGGCATTTGGTTTCTCTAGTTTTACTAGAGGTCTAATAAATTATTAATATGAGCTTTATTGTTGTATACAGCAGGAAAAGGAGCACTAATAGATTATATATTTTCAGCATTCTGATGAAAAGCCAGCCAAAATTCATGTTTTAGCTAAGTGTCTTTTGAGCTTGAAATGTTTTGCCTTAGAAATGTAAGGGAAGTATATTTTGAATTGGGGCATTTTTCCTCAGTAGGATCTATGATAATTTGGGCTAGAAAGGACCTCAGGAGATCATCTAGTCCAGCCTCCTGCTTCAGGCATTCAATTCTGGGTTCCAGTTGCTCAGGGCTTTATCCATTTGGGCCCTGAGAACCAACAGTGGTGAATGTGGTGTACAGTACAGCCTCTCTGAGAAATTTTGACTACTCTGTGGTAGAAAAGGTTGTAATTCTCTGTTCATTGAGAACCTCTTTTGTTTCAGTTTTTCCCCCACTGTGTCTTGTCTTCTAGTGTCATTGAAGGAGGTTAATAAATGTTACAGGATGCTGACAAACATTCTACTGGTTCTAATACATCCATTGGACTTACATGATTTTTCTTGTAAATACTTAATTTTTAGATATTGTTATATATTATTTTAAATACATGTATTAGAATATATACTTATTTTACTTCCACCCTATCTAGTACGAAGAGATAATCTATTGCTCAAAGGGTCTCTTCCACCATGGTACTTTGAAGATATTTGCTGTATTCTGTATCCCACTTTCACCCATGGTTAATCAAAAGTGACTACTGAGTGTACTTTCAAGAGAGGACAAAAGTGGGTAGAAGTGGCTGCTGGACTGTTAGGCAGAACAGGATTTGGTGGTAGGAATGGCCTCAGTGCACTCAGGCCTCTTTGGGAGGCTGTTTGTTGGTGAGTTGGAAAGAATTTTGACTGAAGTATACAGATCTGAAAATAACTTCTTCCATATTTTTGGAAAATAAATAAATGAATGGGTATGGAAAAGAGACCTTACTGATCTGCAGTGAAGAATGGGTTGCAGTGTGAAGCCAGTTTTCATTACAGGCTATACGTATAATCCTTATGAACTCAGTGTCCAACCTAACTCCTAGGAAATCAGGCTTAGTCAGTTAAATTGTTTAAAGACACAGATTCAGTTTCTGTGATGTGGTGTTTCCTGCACCCTTTGATACTTGCTCACTAGAATCTGAATGAGACCTCTCACCCATTTAGAATAGGGTCCTGAAGGGAAGTTCATATTTCCTGGCTATTACATTCTGTATATTCTACACTTTGAATGTCCATGTCTTGATGTCCTCAAACCCCTTTCCACCAAGTGAGCTGAGAAAGAAGACGGAGCACAAATTAAGTCAACCACCTCCTCACCTCCATTTAAGAAAGGAGCTTGCTGATTTTGCAATGTCTTTTGCAGCTGCAGGAGTAGTGGTTATTACTTTGGTAAATAGTTTTGTGAGGTCAGAAGAAATTATGTTAAAATAGGTTGTAGACATTTTCCGTTAGAGAGGGTGCTAGCTCCATGCTTGAGCAAGAAGAGTGAGACATCGCAGTTTGAGCTTATGGCTGTTACAGTCTCAGTGAGGGACCTGATACACACTTGTACATCTAAGGAAAAACAGGAGAACGCAAATCTTGAACCAGTTCAGGTAGACTGTACTAATGTCTTCCTTTATTCAACAGAGGCAGTTGGTGTGACCAGTCAGCGACCAGTGTTCTGCCCTTACCACAAAAAGGAGCAGCTGAAGTTGTATTGTGAAACCTGTGACAAGCTGACCTGCCGAGACTGTCAGTTACTAGAGCACAAAGAGCACAGGTATCAAAGTGTGTATTTTATCCATCTCACAGGAGGGTAGTCTGAAGTAGATTCAGGCAATCTAGTTCTAGCTGTATAGAACACAGTCAGGTGGAAAAAGTGTAAACTAAAATTTTCTGCTCAGACACGAAACTCATAAAAACCAGAGATTGTATCCCAAAGAATGTGATTGATGAGTGTCTGTTACATTTAGAATAAAACCTAATTCTTCCCGTTGTTAATCTGGTGACTTGAGCACAAGACCTTTTTTACAGTCAAGTTATTTGGTCAGAATTTGTTGCTATGCAGATCTTCAGAGAGTCCTTAGAAAACACCGGGGCTGTGTTATGCAACTGTTCACTTATGTGTAATTTCTCCATTTGTCATTCAACAAGATTATATAACAACATTACCAAACTGTTTCAGAATGGAGAAAATGGGAATTCTTTTTTCTGTGAAGAGCTCTTTCAGAGGAAGAGTTAACCTACAGTTTGGCTAATACTGTACTTTGACAACACTATAACACTCAAATCTTTGTGTTGCTGTTCTTTTGGTCATCTCTTACTGGTCACTGAAGCTGAAAAGCAGAATTATATACAACTTCTGAGTGCAAGGCAAAAATCTTGCTGGTAAACACATACTGTCATGTTTTGGGGCAGAGGCACTCTGGTTAAATATTAATATATTTGCTATACCTGATGCAACCACCCAAAGAGCTTGCTTGCCTGACCAGGTGAATGTCAGTAGGTGGAGAAGTGTTGGCCACCGGTGCTCCTTGGAACAGGCTAAACGTTGCTCATGCAGAGTTGCAGTCTTCCTCTTTTATTCTCCTTTTCTTAGGATTTATATCCCTTTTATAATGTGCCACCCTAAAGATTTTGGTTCCTTGATTTAAAATGTTACCAACTTCTACCAACTCAGCAATCTCTTCTATTTCTGCATCCTTGTCTTGCATGAAGTAATAGCTTACCTGCATTTTCACATTCAAAGTGATGACTACCTCAAAACATTACTTTTTCTTTTGCTAAAATTAGGCTATGTCACACAATATCATTTTGTATTTATGAAAATCATAAATTCTTACTCCAGTGTGACAGGAAATAGACGGTAAAATTAAATGTACTATAAATGAAATATATAAGCATTTGCTGACATATGTTTCCATGATGACAGTTAAGTTTCGGATTTAAGCAGCTCCTTTCTTCAATTAAAGAAGTATTATTTTGTAAGTCACTCTGCTTTTTAGCAAGTATATAACACCTTTTACATGTGTAAATCCTCACTTCTTTTTACTACAGGTACCAGTTTATAGAAGAAGCTTTTCAGAACCAGAAAGTTATCATTGAAACACTAATCACCAAGTTGATGGAGAAGAATAAGTACATAAAATATACAGGGAAACAGATCCATAACAGGTTTGTATTAGATTATGAGGTTAAAACTGACAGAAGGCAACTTTACATATACTGTAGTTTCTTGAAATGTTTAAGTTAGTATATTTTGTACCTCCCTCCTTTCATTCTTCCAGAAAGAGGGATTCTAAAGTTCACTGTAGTGACTGTTGCCTATTCAGTATGCTTGGTTGTATTAGGTAATTCTTCTGCTCAGCCTGTGGACTTAATGGGCAACAGTTACTTGGGTGCAACAAAACAACTTGTGCAATAAAGACTGTAGAATACAGTCTTAAATGCTTCCCCACCATCAGCACATTAATTTTCTTAGTGTAGATCCCTCTTAGAAAATTAAAGGTTGTGACTCAAATTTTCATAACGTTTGTGACATGTATTTGAAGATTTATGTAGTACTTTTATGCTTGGGACTCTGTTCTGAGTACTGCAAACCCAGGAGAAAAATAAATCTGTAAAATGCAATCTGCAGTGAGCCTTTGTGGCTGCTCTTTCAGCAGAGTTCAGGGGCAGCAGTACGCAGGGAGATTCAGCTCAGCTGGGGATGCCAAGTGTGACTTGAACTCTTCCTTCATCTTTGCAGTAGGGGTTTCTCCAGCGTAACATTAAGCTTTGCTGTTGTGAGTTTGAGCACTGCTGTAGAAACAGCTAAATTAGTGCCATTCTACCTTAGGTGGAAATTAGACTTAAGCAGTTTTGATTGGCATGGACCATTCCAGAAAAGTGCCAGAACTCTGAAAATCAACAATTTCAATTACAATGAGCATTTAATAGATGTCAGAGTTATGGCATTAGAGTTTGCTACCAGTTAATTAATTTTATCATAGGTCACTCTTACTTGCTCTATTTCTCCCAGTAATTTTCCTGGCTATAGGTATCTGATGATGCATGTATTAATTAATTTGTGCATATGACCAAGAAGTATTGTAGTCTAAGCAACAGATTTATTTTTTAGTACTGTTTAGAAGATGGGTTTATGAGCTAAAGAACATTATTTTCTATACTGTCTGCTTACAGAATTCTTGAAGTGAATCAGAATCAAAAGCAGGTGGAACAGGATATTAAAGTTGCCATATTTACACTGATGGTAGAAATAAATAAAAAGGGAAAAGCTCTGCTGCATCAGTTGGAGGTAATTTCATTTCTATCATAAGAAGGAAAAATTTCAATCTTAATATTTTCTTCTATGTATTCACATTACAGTAAATTTCTAGCATTAGTCCCCTGTGCATGTCCTGTCATGATTCCAAAGTGGAGAGATGTCCCATACAACTACTTGAGCAAGTGGGGTTTTTGGTGAAGGAAAGTTTGGTTTTTGAGGGGTGGCCAGTTTCTTTCTCCATGCTTTTGCAATTCATAATTCCACACATCATGCATGAAAAGTGTTCTATCAGATTTTTTAATAAATTCAGTAATCCAGTAGCAAATCACAGAAGAGAGTTGTCTAGAATGGGTACCTGGAAAAATAATATCTCCAGTTGTGTTTTAAAAATAGTGTGTGTGTGTGTAGAAAGGCACACACATACGTATAAATATATGTAAAAATGTGTCAGTAGCACAGAGAGTCCTGATATTTTGAGTAAATGTGTACTGACTTTTCTGTTTGTTCTGACTTTGCTGCATCAGGGGGCAGGAGTCCTTTTTAGAGGAGCTAAGTGAAACCACTGTGATCATTGTGAATTACCAGTATGAAAGTTAATGCCTTTTAACTGTAAATTGAACCTTTTGACTGGAACTGCTTTTCTACTTGCAGACTCTGGCAAAAGAGCACAGGATGAAACTTCTGCAGCAACAACAGGAAGTGGCAGGTCTCTCTAAACAGCTGGAACATGTCATGAATTTTTCCAAATGGGCAGTTTCCAGTGGGAGCAGCACAGCACTGTTGTACAGTAAACGTTTGGTAAGTTAGGAAGACAGCTCTGTCCATTCACCAAGAGACTAGGGTTAAGTCAGATAAGCATGCACATGCTTGTCTGGAGTACTGGGTATTAGAATTTTTCATGATTTTCTACTAATTGGAATATTTATATGTGGTTGTCGTGGTTTTCTCTTAAACATAAATACAGAATGTTTCTATTAATTTAGCTCTGTGATCATGGTTCTCTCCTGTTACAATACCATAGAACTACTGTAGATCTGCAGAAGTAGGAACAACTCCTTTTCTGTGGGTTGAAAACCATGGAGCCATAAAACACTGAAAAAAATGTTGTGTGGCCTACATCATCATTGTGCTTCTTTACAATATTTGCTACAGCATCTGAGTTCATGAAAAACGGTATTTGTATATCACGATGTCTGGTACCTAGCGTTTTAATGTAGATATTATTGTATGTCTTTGTTCTGTCAGGTTCATCTCCCACTGAAAAACTTTCAAAATCGATAAAAATTAAACTAAGGTTTTTGTTTGTCCATACAAACAATTACAAAGCTAAATATTTCATGGCTATAATGACCCTTAAGATCTGAGTGCATGTTTTCTCACTAAGCTGAATGTTCGTGATGGACAGAAATCCTAGAAAATTTGAAAGAAAAAAAACAACCCAAAAGCTTACCTTGATTTTTCCAAAGGTTACTAGACTGTACTTGCCTGAGAGCAGCAATCTGGGGCAATCTTGAAGAAAGATGCTAGATGCTTGTTTTTTCCAATTCCTATAAACTGGTTCACAAAGTTTTTTGTGAAAGTTTTTTTCTTTATTTTCTCATTGGTTAGTTGAGAACCTATCAGGGTATTTGGTGGGGTTTGTTTGTTTGGGTTTGGATTTGTGGTGGTGTTTTTGGTTTTTTTTCTTTTTTTTATACCCATTATTGATAGTGCAGGCTATAGCAGAATATTACTTGTTTTTATCAACTTCAAGTAGTCAAATTCATTTGATCTGCCTTATACTGCCTCAGCCAGTCATATTTTTTTTAATTGAATAGAGAAAAAGGATATCAAACTGAGTCATATTGTTTATAATTGCTTAGTGTTGCCATCAAGACTCTGCTACATGAGTAAGAAAACAAATTGTGTTTCAGGCATCTTAATCATATAAACATTAGGCAGCTGAAAGAAAGGACCATCTAGCCCAGAAAGCCTCAGCAAATGAAAAGTATTTTTCAAAAGAACAGATTGAGCTTTAGAAAGTTGGTGCTGCTGGGGAGCTGAGTAGATAACTCATCTGTGGGCATTTGGAAAAAATCTGTTTCCAAGGAGTTTTGCGTAGGAAGAGCATGTGAGACTTTTGCTCCAGCATATCCAGGAGGGAGGAAAGAATGACTTAAAGGCAGCATTAGAGCTTGGGGGCTGTACTCTCAGGATGTACTTTTCACTACTACTACTAACACGAGGTGACCAGTCAGGAGTTTATCTACAACACGTGTGTGCACAATAGTAGGAAAATAGTGGAGCAAACTATGACAGGAACTGTGTGTGACCAGTACTGGTAACAGGACAAAAGCCTAGAATTTCTGTAGTGTCATCTACTTGATTCTGGCAGTATACACAAAAATCCTAAGGAAATCTCTATCCAAAATAATAATAATAATGCACTTCAATTTTTTCCATGGTCATTTAAAAGTCTTTAGTCATGTTAAATGTTTTTGAGTATGGTCTTAAACTGACCTGCCTAAAATTGAAATAAAAAAACTTGTGTCATTTTAAACAGTTAAGATGATTTCACCAATTATATCTCTTTTCCAGGAAATAATCTGTCACTCAAGAAAAACAAGAGTTGAACTCAAGTTTTTTTTTTCCAGGTTCTGCTTGCTGTGTGTGATTCTAAAATTAGTGCCTGTTGTATTTTGGTATATCAGTTCCTGACATTTCTAGTGAAACAACTGCAAGACAACATTTTCTTTCTAGGCACTAAATAAATTGTGAGCATTTGGTAGAATATTCTCTTGTGTAATCACAGTCCAGTTCTTTGGAACCAAGGCATTTGAAAAAATCTGAAAATATCTGTGAATCTGAGTTTTCAAACACAGTTTATTAAAATTTGTTCTTTGGCTGTCTGAGAAAACTTAAATTTAGTACAAAAGAAAATTCCCTCAGATCATACTTGTTGCCAAACAAGTGGCATACTTTGAAAGAAAAATGAATGGGCTAAAATAGATTCATGGGGGAAAAAACATCAACAGTTGTGTAAATCTTAGCTCCACTTGCAAGTAGTTAAAGTCATTGAATATAATGGCCAAGTTTTTAGAAGGATATGTATTTCTGCGGGGAAGAATTGTTATTTTTGTTTAGGCTGTATTCCTAAAACTACTTTAGGAATAAGGGAAAGATGTTAAAAATACCTCTTTATTTGTAGCTTGGATAAGTTTCTCTATCTTTAACCTCAGTTCTCTAGAGGCTTGTTCAGGGGGGTTTTGATAGTAGGTTTTTTTGATTGGTTGCTTTGTTTGGTGTGTGAAGGGGTGTATTTTTGGGGTTTTTGTGCTGTTCAGATATATGGCTCTAGCCCCAGAGGAGAAAAAAAACCCCTTGTTTTTGTTCTTGTTCTAGATTACATATCGACTACGGTATCTCCTCCGAGCAAGGTGTGATCCTTCCCCAGTGACTAACAATACCATCCAGTTCCACTGTGATCCTAGCTTCTGGGCTCAGAATATTTTCAATCTAGGTGTGACACATTTTTTATTAGCCTTTTAATGTCTTGATCCTATTTTGAAAGCAGCTTTCTTTTTGTGACGACAGCCTCTGCGCTATTAATTTCTTCATTTACTCTGTTAAATGTATTTCCCTAACTGTGAGAAACATTTAAAGTGCATTGCATGGGGAAAAGTATTATTTATGAATACTGTGATAAAGTATTTACAAACTTACCTTATTTGAATATGGTATATGTGATGGTGAAAATAGCAGCTTTCAGTTTTCTGGTCAATACTTCTAACTTCTGACTTCTAAAACAAGGAAGGCAGTTTTTAATCTTATTTCACATCCAAAGAAAGGGTTCCTGCTGTCAAACAGCACTCCCAGCTCCTTTCCCATGGGACAGCTTTCAGCCGTGATGATAAGCACCCTAAGAACTCAACAGCTTAGCAGGAGGACTTAAAGGTTTTAGAGGTCTTTCAGGATTTTGACTGTTGTGGTGCTCCTTTCTCTCTCCACTGTTATCTTGGTGGGCATTTTTGTTTTTCTGTCATGTGCAGAAGGCTTTGTGAGATGTCTGTGGGACATTTTCTGCCTTTCATCAGAAAGTGTTCTCTCAGTGTACAGAGGTGCAAATGTGTGATTCTCTACAATGTCAGAGGCAGGAAGTGTTATGGCAGTTCTTCAAGGCAAACAAGCTCCTTTTCCCAGACATGAGGACATTGGATGGTATTAAGGAAATTCTCCAAGTTCCTTCTTTATAAATAATTTTCTTAGAGACAGGAATTGAAAATGAAACGTGTTTCTAGAAACCAGCTGTCAGCTGTGTGGTGATAACTCTGAACTGCTGCTCAGCTGAGATGTTCGTCATGAGCTGACTTTTTCCTGTGTTTGGTGGACTCTTTTTCTTGTGTATATTTATTTAATGAACTTCTGAAATATGGTCCCTTACATTCTGAAAAGTGCTACAGTAGAAATGGCACCTGTATAGACCAGGGCTGGGGTTCTTGTAAGACTTAAAGTGATAGATAAAACCAAATCATATTTATCAATCTAGTTTCAGAAATCACAGCCATCAGGCCATTTTGTTTATGATCAGATATGTACAGTTTCTGTAGATAACCTAGATATAAGAACCAGTGAAGAAAAATAAAATAAAGTCTGAGTAAAGAAACAAATTACTTCAGAAATTGTTTTTGAGTTCTAGTCAGGCTGCATGTTGCTGACAGCATGATGGCATTTCTGCTAACTGCCATACTTCAGTATTGATTTTATTTCTTTTGGTTAAAATAGGTTCTTTAGTAATTGAAGATAAGGAAACTCCACCACATATGCCCAAGAGCCCTGTGATTGAAGCAAACTTACAGCCACCAGGCAGTTTATCTCCCAACCAGCTCTCCAAGTTCCCAACACAGATCAGCTTAGCTCAGCTCCGCCTCCAGCACATGCAGCAGCAGGTCATGGCTCAGAGACAGCAAGCTCAGCGCAGAGCAGGACCAGTAGTTCTGCCAAACCCAAGAATGCCAGGAGCCATGCAACAACCTCCTGCTTCTCATCAGGTAAGTTATGAGTGTTTTCAGAGTCTCTTTTTTCCATGGCACTGAAGGAGAAAATAAAGTAAGATAGGAAAAAAAGGAAAGCCCTTAAACCTAGATACATAAGTTCAGCTATCATCATCTTCAGCACATAGCTATGTAGATGGTTTAGAGGACATTTTCTTTACTGAGAAATGAGTGGGCATTTTAAACTTGCCTTGCAAAATGTGTGGTGGCACCCAGTTTGTATTTATTCTTTAAAAAAATAAAATCTTGTTGTATCCAGCCATATACAGTGCTTAGCAACATTTTTGTGTTTTTGTCAAGTGATCAAAAAGTCAATGTCATTAATTTTTTTTGCTACATCTATTTTGCATAACACCCAGTGATTCTCTCATGTATCTTTCAAAGTTGGAAACACTCTCACTGTCTCTTGTTATATCTCTTCATATAATAAAACAACTCAAAACTGTCTACTAGGTTTTAACATTGAAATTCAATGCTTTTGATCATTCAGATAAATGGTGTGGTACTATTTATTTGCATATAATTTATGAGGAGTTTCAGAAGTTTAAAAGGACCGTTTAGTAAAAAATATGTGGAATATAGAACAGATCTCCGCTAACTTCAGAACTGTTTTTATTGTTTTTATGCAGGCACCTCCACGCTTGATTCATTTTCAGAATCATAGTCCCAAACCCAATGGTTCAGCTCTTCCTGCACAACAGATGAGATTTCCCCAAAATCAGAACCTACCAAGGCCATCAGTGAAGCCTAGCCCATTGCAAATGGCATTCTTGGCACAGCAAGCTATAAAACAGGTAAAGTGTATTTCCCTTTTTACTCTCCATTTAGAAATGAAACATCAAATGTGCCTTACATAATCTTTTACACTACACTTCTAGAGTGCTTTTCAATTAAAACAGAGATTACATTGTTTTTCTATTACAAGATACCCGCAGTTTTCTTAATGAGGTAACTGTCAAGTTGTTTTCATTTTCACAGTTCTAAGCAGCTGAAGCATTAGGGAGGTGAGCCACTGTGTGTGCTGTGCAGGTATTTCGTTCTCCTACTTGCTGTTGCTGTGGTTTCTGACCATTTATCCAAAACTTAGCATGCCCGTGGTCTGCACACTGTAGTCATTGAGAAGACAAATCAGAAAATCGCAGTTTATTTTAATGATAGTGACTTCACCAGGAGCCAGGTAAAACCTTGACTAAAAAGCTAGAGCTGCCATGGTTCCCTAGGGTATGGCAAATCTGAACCTTTACAGGTGAAGGGAAAAAAGAGATTCCACAATTGTGACACCTCTGCTGAGTGAGACTGATCAATGCCCAGCTGATCAGCAGCTGAACTGGGACAGAAGCAAACACATTGGTGTTTAGGAAGGCTTATCTTTAGTAAAAAGCGTATTATTACCACATGAGTTGCTGGGTGCAGGTAAGCAGGAAAGAATCAAACAAATCTGTGACCTGAAGAGTGGGGTAATACTAGTTATGTTTGCAATGCTGATGATGTCAGAGAACTAATTCAACTAAATGGAAGAAAGCTGAACAATATCTAAGAGGACTTGTGAGAATAAAAAGTAAGTCACTTCTATTCTGTGCCTCTGAAAAGAAGACTGGTCTGTCTAAAAGTCTTTCTTTCAAGCTACCTCATAATTCAGTAATGTCTTTCTGAAACTAGAGGCCAGTAAATAGAATGACTAACTAAAAAGAAATTGAGCAGAGTCAGATTTGGCCTGCAGTTGCCAGGAAATTCCATTAAAAACTGCATTTCTAGATGAGAAAGAAATTTTGTCTGACTTGACTGTGCAGTTCATATCATGGTGTTAAATGTATATATGGATGGAGATCCAGTCAGCATTTCAAATTCTTAATGACTTTATGTTGTTAAGGGAACATCAAAGACTTCAAGGCATGCAGGTTTATTTGGCAAAGCCCTGGAGCAGTTGTGCATTCACCCTATTACCTGTAATACTTTCATTTAACAAAAACTGTTACTTTTCTTCCACAACACTGTCAATGAAGCATGAAATATTAATAGATACTTAACACTGCGGTATAGCTTTGAATTTGAGAATTTGCATTCATTTCTTCTATTCATAGTTTTCAACTACTTGTCATCTTCCATTGTCTTGTGAGATCAGTTCTTGAAATGAGATAACTTCAGAGTAAATCAGGATTTTATGTTTGAAGTCAGCTTCCTGAACTAAGCTGCTGGTTTTATCAGTATATTCAGTTAGATGTGACCTGTTGCAAAGAAAAAAAATGCTGAATTGTGGATTTTTGTCTCTTTAGTGGCAGATTAGTAGTGGACAAGCTTCATCCACCCCTTCAACTGCAAGCAGCTCAACATCGACTCCATCCAGCCCCACAGTCACCAGTGCTGCTGGGTGTGATTGGAAGAATTATGGTCCCCCCGTGATAGATCTGAGTTCCCCAGTGGGCAGCTCCTATAATCTGCCATCTCTGCCTGATGTGAGTGTAACATAGAGGCAATGTTTTAAGGATTCTACTTTGAAGTCTTAACGTTTGTGAGAAATAGAAACCTTTTAGACTGAAATTGTTTGTCAAAATGAAAGAGTTCTAGGAAGTAAACAATGCAGAGTTGCCTGCGCGTTGCTGGAAATACTCAGGTCTATTCTGGGAGACAGCTGTTAGGACAACTAAGAAAAGTAGGATTACAAGTTGTAATTGTAATTGGACATGTTTATTTGTATGCTGCATATTTTTCTGCAGCACTCATAATGATCCTTACAAAATCCTTATAAAAATAAAAATGTGTTAGCTTAGCTTTCATTTACCAGTGTCTATAGATAGCAGTGGTTTGCTGATGGCATTTTTGGTAGATTTTTAACATTTTTTAAATCTATTTTTAACTTATTAAAAGAGCTATCTTACGTAGGTATTATTGGTCAGCATACTGGATATATTCCTTATGTCTCTTCCTTTTGGTACTTCTTTTCTTTGTATATTCTCTAACATGCCTCTGAGCTGGTGATAGAAAGAGCATAGTAAGATCATAATTTCTTAACCCTCTAAGCTTCTCTTTTATAGTATCTTCTGAATGGTACATGTTTGCCAGAGTTCCATGTTGGAGTTATTGAGTCTTAGGTGATTTTATTTTCCACATAACTGCCTAACCTGGTTTTTGTGGTCTAAGGCTTGAAGCTATCTGAAGTGTCATTGTTTTCTAGTCATAGCATGCTGTTACTTCCTTTATCTCCCATCTGTGCTTTGTTTTTACCTACATACTGTGTGTTCTCTTTATTAAAATGGAGTACATAGACTACAGAATCACAGTATCTGTCAGTCTTAAAGGGTGAACTACACAACATGGTCATAAAACTACTGAGTCTGTGAGACTTTTTAGCATATTTATTTCTGTGCACAATATTATGAACTCTTCTACTTGTGTGTGATTTGAGTTCATGCTTTCAAGATACATGGCCCAAATCACTGTAAATATGCTGACCTTGCCAAGGTCGCTGCATCAACTTTGGATACATCTTATCAAATGTTATCTTACATATTGGAAGAAACCAAACATTTCAAAAAGTCATTTCTCCTTATCAAACCAGAATGTGTAGTTTTTACAGAAAGTTAGAATGCTGCTTTGGGAGCTCCTGGAATAAAGTTCAGTTGTCTGGCCTGAGTCATGGTGGAAAGAACAAGTGTTGGTTTGCTGTTTCCATTTTGAGTCAATATGCATGGCTCCTGTCCAGAGGGTATGTGGGACGGATGGGATTGAGTGTCCTTTGAGTTTCTTCCAGTCCTGTTCAACACCCATGGATTAAGGGGTAGTTTGTGTATAGCATATTATATTTTCAAGAGTATTTAATGTGAGCAAGTCCAAAGAAGGTGTGGAGATAAACTTACTTCAGTGTGTGAAGGCTCCATGTTTGATTTAAGACTTCTCTGTAGCCTGTGGAGAAAAATTGGCACCTACAGAATTATCTGCTCTTAAAATGAAGTGCTGTCTGGATTTGGCTATTTAATTTTCTTTTTAGGGAAAGCAGGATTATATGTTTTAAAGTAACCATCTCACTTTTGGATGGGTAAAATTTGGTGAAATGCATTTTAGTCTTCACTTTCAAAATAACAGCATAGCAGAGGCTTTTTGGTTTTGTTTGGTTTTTGTTGTTTTGGAGGGTTTTTTTTCCCTTCCCAACACTAACTGCTTCCCTTTGCTTCCCCGCCTTTTAGATTGATTGTTCAGGAAGCATGACATTGGATAATGCTGTAAGGAAGGATGGCACTGTAGAGCAGAATCAGCCAAAACCTCCTTCAAACAGGACTGTGCAGTCACCAAATTCCTCAGTACCATCACCAGGCCTCTCAGGTAATTCAGTGTGGTGCAATTTAATATTTAAGTGGTGCAATTGAAAAATCAAATGTGGCAGTGTTAACACTGACATCAGAATTAATTCGGTTTTATATTAAACATGAGAAATAAGAAAGTGAACACAAAGTTGTAGAAACCCTAGTAGAAGGTAGAGATAATATTTTAGCATTGTGATCAAAAGTTAAGCATCCAGATCTTAAAAACAGGAAGGGAAAAAAAAGGGTAGATTTTAGCAAATTGGATAGAAATTCATAGGAAAGTGACTCACTCAGGTGTGCAGATTAAAACCTAGCAGCTGTGGTAAGAGACAAGTATTTGAGAAAGTGAGAGAGGATGTAACAGCAGACTAGAAATGGTGCCTTGGGTGGGTAGTGCAGCACTGACACAGGATGACCAGAGAAGTTACTGTGATGGGTGGCTGAATGTGGTAGACCTGGAGGATCCAGGGGATTCCTGTCACCATGCTGGTGGCCCAACAGCTGGCAGCTGACCATTTACTGACCTGAGCTGTGGGAAGGCTATGTGAGTGGGAATTCCCAGGGAGCACTCATGCAACGTTGGTGCACTCGCATGGTGGTCCCACATTCCTGCGGGATAGCAGAGACAGCAGGTAATGCATTCACAAGCAGCACTAACAGCCCACTCAGGCTTCTCAGGGCTGCTGCTCAGCAATCTGCTTCACAAGGCTTTTGGCTCTCTGGGCCGCAGACCTTTGGTCTCTCTCATATCTGTCCCCCAGACTTCTTCCTGCTCATCAGCTCCAAGTTTCCTGGCAGTTCTCCTGAGAGATCTGCTTGAATTTAATAAGACAAAACAGCCTGCAGTGATCAGGTGGAGAAGTCAGCCAGGCAAGGTACTCACCCATCAGCCTGCTTGCATGTAATGGCCCTTTCTTAGTCCTCTTTCCCTCTGTTATCTCATGCCTCTCATCCTTACATGAAAATGTATTAAATATTTCTTACTGCAGGAGAAATTTTCCCCAAAACACGTGTACTTCTCTGAGTCGTATCTCAGACTTGGCACAGGCCTGTGTTCTGTTCTAATCTGATCCTTCTGTCCTAGGAGGAATCAGTGTGACAAATGTACACCCTCCAATTCGTTCACCCAGTGCCTCCAGTGTTGGGAGCAGAGAGAGGTAAGGAAAGTGTGAGAGAAGAAAATGTAACTTCCACCTCCACAGAACATGCCTCAGTCTCTTCTCTCTTCAATGCATAAAGATGTCGATTTGTCTCACCTCTGTTAACAGGTCAGGCCTGATGGTTGTTCCAGCACTCTTTGCATTCTAAAAGCAGTAATTTCATTTGTAATGTATTAATAAAACATCTAAAGATATATTGACTCTGTAAATGATGGCTAGGTTGGCGTTATTGAAAGAATACTATTTATAAATTAAGTTTTAAGTTCAGAAAAATCAGCTAAAGGAAAAAGCTGCATATTGAAAGCCCTTGCGGAACCATAAATTACTTCAGATTTAAGGAACTGATGCTACAAAGAGGGTTATTAAGCATTTTCTGCTGCAATACAGTTAAGTGAGCAGTAGATATCTACTGAGAGTCTACACAAATGTTTTTCTCCCTTACTGATGGAATATTAATGAACAAATATATTTACACAGCATTTTTTAAAGAGTGCAGATCAATTAATGTGTTGCAATAAATTAGAGCATACCTCTGACATGAGATTAATTTTTCATGCAGAGAAAAATCAGATGATATTCATCCTACTTGAGTTGGAAATGCAGGTGCTTTTTAATCTGGAATACCTTTTGCTCTATTCCATTTACATGGTAAATTCTGTGAAGGACTCTTATGAACAGTTTAAATGAACAGTTTAAATGGTTGTTTGAAGAGTCTTTACTTGCATTGAAAAATGTGATTTGATGCGCTGCTGCTTGAATTAATTTTGTTAGATTTAAATTCTCCACTTTTCTTTAAAAAGATAAGCAGGTATTTTAAAGTCTGCTTGTCCATTCTCATCCTGTTAGGACTAAATACATGAAAAAAGACAGATCTAGTTCTAAAAGTATGGTCCAGGTTTTGGTGGAGCTGCAAGGCACTAAGAAAGTTTTCCATGATAATGTAAATATGTATTTTATCTGCCTTATTCAGTTGTGTAGTTTACAATGTTCAGTGGAGGTGCTTTTTTGTGCATGATTTGAAGACTATTTGCAAATTTTGGACTGATGGGTCAAACCATGAGTAATTCTCTAGTTTTGGGTCAAACCATGGGTAAGTCTCAAATTTTAATGGTTGCAGCCATTAAATTTTTTCCATTTGGTAATGCTTTTTCAGTATACATCAAAGGAAATAAACTTGGATGTTGCATTCCATAAAGAGAATACTACTCAGGATTAAAAGAAACAAAGTAGATTAACATCCTGAGGTCTTGGAAAGCATCAGTGTACAAAAGGTGTCCAGTTCTGACTCCCAATTTAATTTTTTTCCTGCCTCTTCCTGTCATTTACAGTTCTGGCTCCTCCAGCAGGCCACCAGGAGCTGATTCTACACACAAAGTCCCTGTTGTTATGTTGGAGCCGATCAGAATTAAACAGGAGTCAAGTGCATCAAATGAGAACTTTGATTTCCCAATTGTTGTAGTGAAGGAAGAGACGGAGGAGGAATCCCGGCCTCGGAATGTAATATTTGCAGCTAGAAAGAGCTCCTTTCTCTTTGGAGGGTATTTTGTATTTATGGGGACTAAAATAATTTACTTGTATTTAGGGGAAAACTAAAAACCTAAGTAAAAGGAAGAGGTGAAATTCAAAATCAAACTAGTCCTACTGCCAATTAAATTAAATGGTGTGATCAGACTGCTTTTTTCCATTGAAAACCTGGGAAATCCAGGAATAACTTGCAGAGATGAAATTTTCAGGTGCTGCTAGGAAGTGTTTCTAGTCATAATGCAGGAATATCCATAAACAAGGTACTAGATTTTTGGGCCATCAGAGATTAGTTTTTTATTGGTGGAGTAGTAAATAGCCTTTCATAACTAATTTCTTGTGTTTATTTGCCTGTGTTTTAGAGTGTTAGTAATTTCTGCATGCATATAGCAAGTTGTATGGCTGCTGGTATATAAATGTGGTATTCAGGTCAGTTAGCACAGTTTTAGGGTCATGTAGATTCACATAAATACTGTAATCTCACTTGCTTTGTTTCTTCCTGCAGTCCATACTTACTTCCTTGCTGCTGGATACCAGTCACAATTCCTCTTCTGAGGAAGCTATGCTAAGAACAGATGCACCAGACAGCACAGATGACCAGCCAGGGGCACTGCAGGAGAACACGTTCCCTGGGAAAACAGCTTGGATGGGATCCTCCCATGCTGGCGAGGGCAGAAAAGAGGATGATCCGAATGAAGATTGGTGTGCTGTATGTCAAAATGGAGGGAAGCTCCTTTGCTGTGAGAAGTGTCCCAAAGTATTCCATCTTTCTTGTCATGTTCCTACATTGATGAGCTTTCCAAGGTAATTGACTATTTCAATTCCATCTAAAATTGCACTAGAAGACATTAGACTTGTATTGTGAAACCTGGGGTAAGAAGTTTCAGTCTCAGAGGAAGAGCAGTGCCTTCTTTAAAGTCTTGTATCCAGGAGTTTTATTAGTTGGAGAAAATCTGAATTTTCATGAAGCTTAATTGTATATTTTCCTACAAAATCTAGTAAAACTCTTCAATTATTTGACAATTAAACAAGATTACATGTAGGCCATCTATTATTAAAACTGGGACACAGCATTAGCAATCTGTCATAAAATGTTTTAAGGGTGATGGAATATAGTTAAATTTCTTAAAAATAATGATTTTTTAACAAAAAAAGAAAAATTAAGACATGTCTACAGGAAAAATCTGAATTAATATAGTATTGAATATATTACTTCAGTGCTAAACATGGCTACACTCCAAGCATGGGATGTGTAGTGACTGACATATTTTATAACAATCAGTGTTGAAACAAGCATTAGGCTTCCTTGGTTGGCTGTTACAAAACCATTGCTCAGTTTCTTGACTTTCAAAATCGAGTCTTAAGTAGATTATTGTTATATATTACTGGCGTTTGCTTCTGGAATTAGTGTCTTTGATTAAAATAAAGGGCATTTGTCAATGCCCCAGCTTGGAAATGTCATGCAATAAGCTTGTTTGTATTAAAGGATAAAAACATTGGTTATAACATGCTCATTGGTTAATGCTTTTATAAATATTAGGTTTTCTGATTAAATATCAGCATAGTTTACTGGTGTAAAACATTTGGATAGCAACTTAGATTAGCAGGTTGATCATCTCTGTGCTACTCTGAACAGGCATACTTCTGGAAGTATATCTTTCTTTTAAATGTCAGTTGAAATGGCACATAAAAATGTTTCTCTTACTTTTTGAAACTTCAGTTTTCAGGGTTTTTTAAATTAAAACAATGCTACATTACAGCTTTGTGCCATAAGGAAAACCCAGTAAGGTTACAGTAAGCACTTAAATTAATAAATATTTTTTCTGGCAAGGAAACAAAAAGGAATCTTGGAGCAGGTAGATAACTATGTATTACAAGATTTTGTTTCTATTAAAATTAAATATTCAATAGCAAGTCTTTAAAATGCTTCATTTTTACTGGATCATTCAGTGGAAACTGAGGTAATGATATCTGAGGGCAAGAGAGCCAAAAACCACTTTGGTGGCAGGTGTTCAGATCTGTAAAGGTGCATATTACTACAGGTGCATTGTGTTCCTGGGCTCCAGAGCACAGTTAGGTGAAGTTTCCTCCTGACTTCTGATGTATCAGGGTTTTGTTCTCATCTTTGTGGGGTTGCTTCCTTTTTTTTCTGCCAACTCTAAGTCTGCCAAACAAACTTTAGTCTCTTAGCATTAGTTCCTTCAAACACACAGAATAATTCTGTTATTATTGTGTCAGGGGTGTCAGTCTGCTGCTTTCATGGTTGGTTTTTTTTCCCTGTTTCAGGTGGATAGAGCCATTTCATACGTTCAGAGTCACAAGGTGTTTTGGGTTGCAAGGGACCTTTAAAGACCCTCTAACATGAATGCCCCTGCAATGGTCAGGGACATCTTCAACTAGACAAGGTTGCTCAGAGTACCATCCAACCTGGCACTGAATGTTTTCAGGAATAAGGCATCCACCAGCTTTCTGGGCAACCTGTGCCAGTGTTTCACAGTCCTCACTGTAAAAAACCTGTTCCTTGTATCCAGTCTGAATCTACCCTCTTTCAGTTTAAAACAGTGCTCCTATGTAGACTCGTAAGGCCACAGTGTCTTTTTTCCTTCACTCCAACCTACCACATTCTTTCTGATTCTTGGATATTTTAATGCATCATTCCTCTAATTTGTTTCTTGTTTTCTTATATCTCAAGATCTTTAGGTCATAGCCTGTATTAATTTTTGTGTATCTGCCACATCATTTCTGTGAGGCTAGTTCAGGCACAGAGGTGGCACTGTCATAAATCACTTTGTGAAGTTAAGACAGTAGAAAGTAAAACTTCCTGAAGCAAAATGCCCATCATTCACCACTGCATGCTAAAACTGGCACATGGTGAAAATATTTGGATCACTCTGAATAGAAAACAGTAAGATTTTATTTTTAAATGTGTGAATTCTTCTGCCTTACTATTGAAATGAAATAAAGGGTGCTGCAGAAACTATTTCCCATTTACGAAGTCTCTGTTTATCATAACATACCTCTGGGTAAACACATGCATTTGGTGTCATAACTGGTTATTGCTGGATTCTGTCTACTGTGTGACAATTCAGCCCTCTGGTGGTTATCTGCAAGTGTGCAGTTTCTCTCTTTGTAGAGAACTATAGTAAAAAAATTGACTCTTCATAGTTTTTTCTCAAAACTTTCAAGTTCATAAATTGTGTTCAACAATCAGTAGACATAGCTTGCAGAATGAATTATCTTACAGTCTCATGCTGACCTTTTCATCTCCAGTACTGTCTTATGCAAACTGGTAAAATCATGAATATCTGAGTGTTTTTGGGAATGAAATATTTTCAGTTTTACAAAGAATCCTGTCTATGGTAATCTCTGTAGATTAGTAATGTGCTGTAGATCAAGCTTGTAGCGGGTATGTAGTTCTCACCGTATAATACTAACACTTTGCCTTCTGTTCAGCCATATGACTCCTTCAGTCTCTCTGTAGTTATGGTTGTACAGGGCCCTTCATAGTGCTGTCCTTAAATCCTGTGAGCTCAAGGGGAAAAAAAAAAATCAGTATTAACAAAGGTAGGGACCATCTGTCTGTCTTTCTGCCAGGACACCATTAATGATGCCAGTGACACTAAAAGGAAACAAAGTTGTAGTCAAGCATTTTTGCCAGCAGCCTTTTTTACCACCACCAAGAAAACAACAGAGGTGCACAGTTTTCTGGTAAAGATGAGGGATTTACCCAAAAATATGTGGAAAGCCTTCTGGCAAAGGAGTGCTCTCCCACTGAAGTCAATGTGTCTGTCTGTCTTCTTTAGTGGAGAGTGGATTTGTACATTCTGTCGGGATTTGTCCAAGCCAGAAGTTGAATATGACTGTGATAAACCTGCTCACAGCTCTGAAAAACGAAAATTGGAAGACACCATGGGTTTGGCACCCATAGACCGCAGGGTAAGGATAAAATAGTTATTTAAAACTTAGAAGCTGAAGCAATTTTGAACTATGTTAGAAACTTTTGTCAGTGTTTACCTGTTTTCAGTTGGCAACTTGTGTAAATATGTTGAAAACAGTATTTCATTTGGGGTCTTAGTCTACATGTATAGCCATTTATAGAAAAGTAGTAGAGAGGAGACTCTCAGGCTCACAACGTATGACACTGGTATGTGGGTGATTATGATGAGATTTATTGCTCATACAGTATCTAAATATTGCCAGTGCAGTGTGTAATAAGCAGGTCTGAAGGGCTATAACACAGGGTCAACTGGAAACATGCAGGTTTGCAGAAAGCACAGTTGCAAAGCAGCAAAGCACCCATGGAGCTACATTAGGATTTTATCTCCACCTGTTACTCACCTGTCCAAGCCTGAGTCTTCCCATCCTCAGGCTGGATGTACCCTGCAGGTATCTCTGCAGGGGTGGAATCCACCTGGAAGCTGCCCTGCAGCCTCAGGAGGTCACTTTGCCATTTGGCCCAGTCTCCAGGAGCATTTTGTACCCTTTTGCAGGCCCATGTGTACCAAGGACAATCACAACCATCATCACTCCCTCACCTCTGGAATGCATTAATTATGCAAGCATCCAGACAGTTCCTCCTGCAATTCCCACCTGGTGTTCTTATCTTAGGACAGATCACATTGCCCATCAATTATGTGTGTGTGGAGGACAGACTTTGTCACACCATTATTTACATGTACTCTATTTGTATTTTGCATTAAATGTAAGTTATAAGCCCTGTAATCTGGTCGACAGGGGCTCCCAGGAAGAGAATCTTGACTCCATGTTTCAGAAGGCTGGTTTATTATATTATGATATATATTATATTGAAATTATATACTAAAGCTATACTAAAAAGAATAGAGAGAAAAGGATTCATCAGAAGGCTAGAAAGAACAGGAATGGAATGCAATAACAAAGGCTCCTGACTCGCAGAGAGTCTGAGCCAGCTGACTGTGATTGGCCATTAATTAGAAACAACCAACATGCCCCAATCACAGCTGCACCTGTTGCATTCCACAGCAGCACATAGTTATTGTTTACATTTCTTTCCTGAGGCTCCTCAGCTTCTCAGGAGAAAAAATCCTAGCAAAGGATTTTTCATAAAAGATCATGGCTACACTGTAAAGATTCTGAAAAGGGATCAGCAAGCATAAAATCACACAGAAGTATCTTTTATAATCTCTTTCAAGACTCAAGATCCAGTTTAATATATTTGTATACACAAAGAAAAAGTGGGAATACTGAGTTCTGTATTTTCTGTAGTTTGTGATTTTAGAATAAGCCATGTAGGATTCCTGAATTAGTTGGATATCTATTTTTCTTGGCACAGAAGTGTGAAAGACTGCTGCTATACCTCTACTGTCATGAAATGAGTCCTGCCTTTCAAGATCCAGTTCCTCCCACAGTATGTACCTCACTTCTTTCTATTTTATGTTAGCAGCATATTTGCCATGTTTTTAGTGGCATTCTGAAGTCCATTATCATAAGTCAAATTCCACAGACATTCAATGCATTAAACATGTTTAATTTTATTCAAACTGAAGGGGAAATTAAAAGGGTTGGCAGGGGATTTGCTAGTAAAATTCCACAATAAGTTATTTTACTTAATACTTCAAAAGTCACTTTAAAAAGTAAGTTCTAACACTGCTAACTTCATATCCTGAGTTACATCACTGAGAAGGTAAATTGGGATATATTTGGGGGTTTTAAACATTTAAACACTAATTTTAAACATTACGTGATTTTGAGAACTGGGGTACTCCGTAGTACTAATACGAAATTGAATTTCTTATTGACTTGAAATTTGTTAGTTTAAAATGGTAAACAGTACCTGAGTGCAGTAGAAGTCCAAAGAGCTACCACTGTGATCAGATCAAAAGATGTTCTTCATGACAAGGCAGTGGGGAAGGACAAGTCAATGGGGAAAGAGTATCATCAAAAAGTAGTAGGTTCCTATGCAGCCTTTATTCCATTTGAATAAGAATTCTGAAGAACATTCCACAGAGTTTAATAATAAGAAATGGCACAAGAGATTGATAATTCATATTATGCCCATGTGTTACTAAAGAACATCCAAACTAACTCATTGGCTCTATTATATGTACTTAGTGGAGGTTTTATGTGTTTCTCTTTGATTTTAAAATAAGCATTGGAAAGAGTATACTTTAGCCAACAAATTGTCATACATCACTGTTATTCCAGAAACTGTCTGCATGTATGTTGAAAGTGCAATTCTTGTATCTTTGAGTTGTACTTTGAAGATGAGATTAAATCTTGCCTACTCCCTCAAATCTAAAGGTTTATAGAACAATAAATTATGAACATAGTTTCATTTTGGACTTTTTTCATCCACTTAGGTCCCTGATTACTACAAAATAATCAAGAAGCCTATGGACCTGTCAACCATCAAGAAAAGACTTGAAGTGACCAATTCATTCTACAATAAGCCAGAAGATTTTGTGGCTGATTTCAGACTGATTTTCCAAAACTGTGCTGAATTTAATGAGGTTAGAAAAATAGATATTTTATCAGCTTTGTTGGCTTAGTTGTTTTCAGTATAACTGTAATGAGGGTACAACTTAAAACACAAGAATTTATTGTATTAAACATACTTTGATGATGAGACTGCAGTGAAAACATAGATCAGATCTGACACTGCTGTGGTCTGAGATAACTGCAGTGGGCATCATTCATAGAAGGGAGGAGGGTGGTAACAAACATAGCTGAATGGCCCAACAGCAGCTAAAGAAAAACACAATTTTTTATCATACAGGTTAATGGTGGGCATTATGATCTAAAAATTGGTTTCGTCCTGCTTGTGTCAGATCTTAAATTCAGTAGGATTTTCATTTCTGGAAATCATTCTTATGATTTCAAGTTGCATGTAATTTTTATTATCCCCTACTGCACATAAGGGAATATGTGGTGAAATAGGGATGCAGGTTCTGAGTGGACCACAAAATGAGAGAGAATTACAGTGGGAATAATTCCCACTGTAATTTTTCCAAGTGGCCTCTGTGGAATTCTCATCCAGTCACTCTGAGAGCTAGGACTTACTCCTATACTGGGGATATCTGCTTCAAGAAACTGGTAGCTGTGGTGGTTGTGGATGACTTTAGGACTGCTCAGTCTTCCATGTTACAGTCACTGTCTACCAAGTAACATTTTCTGTTACTAAAAAGATCTGTAAGCTAGAAAAGTTTCTAACACCCTGAGGACATACCTGTGTGTTTTACAGCACAACACAACTCTGTCCCCCTGCTCCCACCCCAGTCAGAATTTAAGAGTTTTTAGAATCTTTATACAGCTTTGAGTACCCAGGCAGTGTGGCTTTTGTGAGTGGCTTCTGTGGTCTTTCAGTTAGCGAAAAAAAATCATTGGTGGTTGTTGGCTGGAAGATCTGCCCTCACTGTATTTTTGTGCTCTTTGGGGCCCTGTGCTCCAGAGCCATTTCTGCTGGAGATTTTTTTTTTTTTTTTTTTTTTGTAGTTTGTACCTAAAAGACCTAATGTGATCTAAGTACAAAGCTATTTCACGATGCACTGATGTTGTTAATTCACCCAACAGCCTGATTCAGAAGTGGCTGATGCTGGCATGAAACTTGAATCCTACTTTGAAGATCTTCTAAGGAATCTTTATCCTGAGAGAAAGTTTCCTGTACAGCCAAACAGCCAGAGTGAAAAAGATAATGCAGAAGTTACCGATGACTCAGATGATGACTTTGTACAGCCCCGGAAAAAACGCCTCAAAGGAGAAGACCGTCAATTGCTTAAATGAGCCACATGTGTTCCTACAGAAAGTTTTTTAAAAACTGAGCATATTTATCACTGGTATCACTGTTTTTGACTTGTAGGTTTGTGAATATTTACTAGACTTTCTACCCCCTGTCTGAAACACAAATCTAATGGAGATCAAGACATGTGAAGAGCTTCTCTGAAGTTCAAACCTTTCATCTCTTTTCTGGAGCAGCTCAGAAATTGCCATTTGCGTGGTGTGACAGCTGTTTAATTTTGCTTTGAAGAAGTTTGTATAGAATTGAACTTCAAAACATAACATGAGTTCAACATGTGGCTTTCTGAATTTAAAGAAAATGTGATCTCACCAGACTTTTATTTTTACCAAAGGCATGTGGCTGGCCATAATTTGATCTCTCTGTACTGTATTTAACACAAACCATGAAAAAAGATGGTATAATGTTATTGTCTTGCAGTACTGGTTGATATAATGAAAGTGTAGTTGCCCCCAAAGAAGTTACTGGGAATTTTTAAATGTAAGGGAGAGGATACTAAAAATAACTTAAAAAAAAAAAAAAACAAAAACGAGGAATTTGTGTGAGAGTTTCTAACTGAGGAAGTAAAGGACAGAAAATTTTGGTTTACACCATTTTTCTTATCACCAGCAGGAAACAATGGTATTTCTGTACTACTTTGTTTAACAGGTGTCTCAAGTGTGACGTACCTCTATTTAATGAAGTTGGTGGGAAAGTCTTAAATGGAAAAATGTTTGTTTGCAAAAGCAGTCATTTTTGTGAATTTTTAAAGAGGGGAGAAAAAGCATCCTTTCTGTGCACAATCTCTTTCCCACATTTCTAAATATGTCAGAATGCAACCAGTATTCACTCAGGAGTACACAAGTTTGAAGAGGAAGATAATGTTCTTCAGCCCTCCATCTGTCCCTGATCACCAGAAAACGAAGATGAATTACCTTATTTTGTTCCATCTACTTTCCAGGAGCATCCCATCAGTTCTGTGGTTCCAGCTGGCTCTCTGAAAAACTCCAAACTTAATGCAAACAAAACTTCATCCGACTCTAACCTTTTAAGGAATTTCCAAGAGCATTGCTTGGGGTTTAATTTCTGTGAGGGAAGAGTCCCTTGACTTTAATGCTGCTGATGGGTGATGTCCCCAGGTTGGAAGGGAAGGGGTTTGGCTCCTCCCGCCTGCGGCGATCCTGCCCCGCTCGATCCGCGAGGGCGCGGCGGGCGTGAGCCCCCGGGGTTTGGGCACGGGGCAGGGGGAGGAGGGCGCTGCCCTGCCCAGGAGGGTGCGGTGGCCTCGGGGTTCCGGGGCGGGGGGGGGGGGGGGGGGGGGGGGGGCTGCGCTCGCGTCGCGGCTTCGTGTCCGCCAGGCGGCGCCCCACGGGCCGGGGCCGCGTCCTGTCGCTTCTAGCTGCGATCCAGCACCTACTCCAGTGAGTCGCCGCCATCCTTCTGGGCCCGGCCCTGGCTCCCTGCGGCCACACTGGGACCAAACCTGAAGCAGCGGCGTGACCCAGGCCCCGCGCCTGCCGAAGCAGGAGCAAAGCAGCAGCATCGGGCTCAGTCCCGGAGCGGCTCCTCCCACCCGCGGCGATCCCAATCCTCATCCCAGCCCAAATCCCGCACCCCACCCGCCGAGGGAGAAACAGCTCCTCCCAGGACCCCAGCAGACATCGCCAGGACCCGGACTCAGATCTCCGGGCCTGGATCCTGGTGCCGGCCCCACTTCAAGGCCTCAAGCCCCGCGCAGCGCTCCGAATGACAGTCCCGCAGCACCCCGGGATGAGCATCCACCACAGCAAGGCGAGCGGGCACGGATCCGCCGGAATTTATGGGCGAGGCGGGGCCGGCACAGGTGCGCGGGGCCCCAGAGCGCCTGCGCGGGGCGGAGTCGAGGGGATTTAAACCGCTGGTAGGAGGCTGCGCAGCTGTTTGCGTTCGGTTCTTGCTGTGGGTGGGTACAGCCGGGCCGGGCTGGGCTCTATTTCTCTCTCTTTATATTTCTTACACGTTTATTTTCTTCTGTAGTTCTTTTTCTCTGTACCTCTCATTTTTCACTACCTTTCTCCCTTCCCCAGCCCCGCCTTCCCCTTCATCCCCCCAAGCCGGGTCCCCCCTACCCCGCCATCCCACTACACACCCCAACCCTACCGCACCCCTCACCCCGGCTCCTCCTGTCCCCTCTCCATGATACCGCCCCCCCAACCATCCTCCTCCTTCCCCCCAGCATGACTTCAGTTCTCTCCCTCCTTCCTCCATCCTGCCTTCCCCCCAGCCCCCTGCCCTGCGCACCTCGACCTGCCCCCCACCTGCCCTGTCCTTTTTCCTTGTCAAAGCGCATGCGTGCGATGCCACCATCTTTGGACATGCGCGAAGTAGCCTTGCTAAACCACCATTTTTTGTGCTGAATCACGTGACTTCCGACCTTCGTCGCCACCTTGGGTGCTGGCGGAAGCCATCTCCGGCTAAGCTGCCATCTTCGGTGTGGTACAATTAAGGTCCCCCGCTCCTCACAAGGGCGTCTGTCTTTTCGGCGGCCTGAAATCCCCACACTTGACTCCTACTCCGACCCGGCGCTTTCAGAGAGATTTTTTGTGATGTTTCCCGGTGTGGGAACGCGGCTGGTGGCGTCAATGGCGCCGGGGGCTGGCGGGAGCTGCGCGAACGGCAGTGGGAAGACTGGGACGCATCTCTCTGCCATTTTGAATGTGGCTCAACTCCGGCCGGCTCTCTGTAGTGTCCTGTCACATGATTTTCTTGCCATTTCTGTCGTGTTGGGGGTGGCGAACTGCGGCGTCCTTTTTCGCGCCGCCATATTGAGAGTGGCACACAGGCAGCTCTATCCGCACCATGCCCGCCCCGTGTCACGGTGCGGCCGCGCTTCTGCCGCCCGGCACAACCGGCGCCACGTCTGTCATTCTTCTCAGTCACCGCCTTGCACTCCTTCTATCGCCTGGCCCTGCTCATGGTCCTGACTGTTTGCACTCCTGACTCGCCTTCACCCCTCCACTCTGTTTCCGGACATGGCCTCGCTCGGTCCCGGCTCTTGCCGGTGCCTCGTGTCACCCAGCAGGGACGGTCAGGGCGGTGTCGGAAGCAGCGGTGCCAGTCTCTGCCGCCAGGCGGCAGCACCACCGCACAGCTCAGCCAGGGGCTGCGACAGTGTGGGGTGGCGAGAGAACGGAGGGAAAAGTTGGGATAGAGCCCTTTTTATTTCCTTCACCCCGATCATCTTTTATGTTTTCAGGCACTTGTTTGTTTCATTCATATATAAAAAATGTTATGTCATTACTTTCAAACCCTACAGATCTCCATTCAGAGTTTCTTACATTCCTGTATATAACAGATAGGGCTTATTTTGAAATGAATTAATATATAACTATTATTTGTCAATCTATGAAAAATGAAAAACTTGACAGGTTTTAGTATTCTACACACACCCCTCCCTGTGAATTTTCCAGCAGTTTTGGGTCCCTCTGGGAGAGGGCACCCAAGCATGAGCCCCCTCATTCCCCACTCAGCTGCTTCTCCACAGCATCGTGGCTCTCTCAGAGACATTGGGGTGCCCCAAATGACATCACAGCCCCTGAGTCCCCACCTCCTCCCCCACCCCTGGAGAAGGGTGAATCAAAACGAGTCAAACTGCCCTGGAGAGCAGCATGTTGCTTTAACAATTTACATGTGTACATCCCCCCAAAAGGGCTCTGGAATAATAAAGGTCAGCCCTCAGAAGAGTTGAAGTTCCTCCCCAGCTCCAGTGTCACAGGCTGGTGGCTGCCCCACCTAACAGGGCAGGGAGAGCCTGGACTGCCTTGGTTCAAATCAAACCAAATTCAGTCCCTGTGCTCTGAAGGGGTAGAGAAGTTTCCCCACTAGGGACAACAGGTTGGTCTCCACTCAAGAATTAAGGCACCATCTGCTCCTGGCTGTGTTCCTTGCCTGTCATACAGCCATTTTCCTTGGTCATGAATAATTGCATTTCAAGAGTTTTAACTATTACTGACTGAGTTTGTTGTGGTTTTTTTTTTTTTTTTTTTGTTGTTGTTGTTGTTTTTTTGTTTGGTTTTTTTTTTTTTTGTTTTTGTTTTTTTTTTTTGGTTGTTTTTTTGTTTGTTTTTTTTTTTTTAACAACCAAGAAAATACCGTGGACAGAAGACAATTCCATTTGAATAGTCTCTGAATTTCCAGTATTTGAAAGAAAAATTAATAGGATAAGTGTGGAGTATATAGCCATTACCAACAGAATCTGTAAGTTTCCCAATATTGCTTTTGGCATTTCATGGAAAAAAAACTCATTCAGCCCAAGATTTATCATCCTTACCTTCTTTCCCTAACAAACACAATTTCACAAAATAGCTTGATCTGGGTCACTTTCCCTTAATTTCCACCCATGTCCACAATCCTGGCAGGAGCTTGGGTAGAAGCACAGTCCCTTTGTGACTCCACTGTGTTCAGTTGTTTAAATCAGGCCAGTCCCCCTGCCAGCTCACTAGCGGCAGGTGTGGCCTCCCCTGCCCCAGCCGTGACTCCTCCCCTGGGCTGTGAAGCTACACCTCCAGCAGAGACAGAAGGATCCATCCAATGCCTTGCTGGGGTAGGCTAGACCGTGTCAGCCCTTGAGGTTAAAAATAAGAAAAACAATGTGAGGAAATGACAAAAAAAGTCCAATTTGACTTAGGCTTCTTCAGGTGGCATTTCATGGTTCTGCAGTCTACTTCCTCTGAGTTCAAAAATAATCCCCTCACAGGACTGTTAACTTCTCCATTAAGCCTCTTTTGTTTTTAAGATTTAGGGATTTATTACATCCAGCTTTAGTTCCTGTAACCTTCCCAGTTACTCCTCTGTTTAAAAAAAAAAAAAAGGGGGGGGGGGATAATAAATAAAGAGAAACCAACTCAACTATAACCATTTCCTTGCTTTTCAGTACTTCCTAACATCAAGCACCTTGCACTGGAGAAGAAAAAATAGGTTGCTTCTACACATCCAAATTCCTTTGAGTTTTAGTATCATCTGTTTCCTTGTAATTATGAGAAGTGTTTTGTACAGCACAATGAATAAAATGGTCACATTTTCAGAAGACACAATTGCGTGAGGACAGACAGCAGAACTGCCTCCAGAGGCAATTTGGGCACACATTAACCTTTTTGCACTCTAAGCTTTCTTTTGTGTCACACCTGAAATTCTGAGGTTTTTAGTACTCTGCCCAAGTCAGTGCTGCTGTCACATGAAAAGAGAGGAATTTTCTTTAGCACTGGATGTCGGCCTTAACACCACAAGAAGTGATTCAGCAGGCAAGAAACCTGCCTGCTGCTTTCATAACTGCTGAGGCCAAGGATGCCAACTCAGTGAGAGAGCTGCCACGTCCTTCCTTTGCTCAGAGCTTGCAGTGGGACAAGCAGCACAAAACCCAGCAGATCAGAGCCACCTATACATGAAACTTCCCAGTGTGAACCATTCAAAACAAAAAAGTATGCCCCAAAGCCCACAGCACACAACATCTCAAATTATAATTCAGACTAATTCTGTGCAACACTCACCCTTTACAAAATGAGACCCAGACCCATGCCAGGGGTCTCAGGTACATGGCAAACAGACACCATGGACCCATCTCCATAAGGATAATGAACTTTTGTAGCCATCTGCCTCGTGTGACACCACTCCCTGCAGGCTGGGGAGACCCCCCTGTCCCTCTCAGCCCTCCCTGCCCTGGCTGGGGTGCAGAGTGTCCCCCACATCCTCGTCTGGCTGGAGCAAACCC